ATGTGGGCAGGGCTCTTGCAGAGCAGTGATACAGTGTGTGTCTGTGCACAGGGCACCTAAAGCTGACAGACTTTGGCCTTTCCCGCCACCTGCGCCGAGGGGAGCGGGCTTACACCATCTGTGGGACCCTGCAGTACATGGGTAAGGCTGGCACAGGCTGCCGCTGGGCAATGGGGCTGGGGGTCGGGCACTGCACAATCCCTGACTCTGCTTTCTCTTGGGATTGACAGCCCCAGAAGTGCTGAGCGGAGGCCCCTACAGCCATTCTGCTGACTGGTGGTCTCTGGGCATCCTGCTCTTTACCCTGGCTACTGGGAAGGTGAGGTGACGGGGCCAGGGGAGATGCAATGGGGTCAGATTCTCTATCACTGGGAGGCGAGGGGCTGGGGCAGCATCCCTATTGGTCTGGGCACACAGCCCTACTATCCCATGGAGCCACACTGGCGAGTGGGAGGGTCCGGGGGCAGAGGAGACACCTGTGCTCCCTTGTCTCTCCCAGATCCCATGTGGATGGGTCACTGGGCCACTCTTCTCTTTGTTCTGAGGCTGCCTCCACTCGGCAGCACTTCCGCCAGCACTACCGGAGTCTGCTGGCGGGTTCCCTGCTTCCCATCACCTGCACGATGCATTGGAGCCTCCGCCCGGGCCACGGTCTGGATTGTGGCTCTTGTGCAATAGATCAGGGAAGGACTTGAGCCCAGAGGGCTGTGGCCTGCTGAGGGCTGGAAGATGGTGTGTCTGATGGGTACCTGCAACCAACCTGTGGTGCTCACGCTGCAGCCTGGCTCCTCCCCTAAGCTGCTCCAGCCTGGACCTTGGGCTGGGCTCCTGCTGCAGCTGCTGGGCCTGCGCAGAGGCAGTGGTCAATGGGAGGCAGAATCCTCTTTGGGAATGCTTCCTTCCGGGGGACTAACAGTCCTCTCCTGTCTCCCCAGTTCCCAGTTCCTCCAGAGCGAGACCACCTGGCCATGCTGGCGAGCGTGAACCGCTGCAGCTACGAGAGCCCAGGCTCCCTGAGCCGGGGGCTGTCCCTCCTGCTCAGCGAGGTAACTCCTTCCAACCCCTCCTGCGCCCCCTTCCCTGGTCCCAGCCATCCCCTCTCCAGCAGGGCAGTGCTGGCTGAGTCTATCCCCTGTACACGTAGCCCGTTCTCACGGTCAGGCTTTCCCTCCCCAGCTCCTGTGCCGAAACCCCCTGCGGCGCCTGCGCTACCTCCACCACTTCAAGAGCCACCTCTTCTTCCGGGGCGTGACCTTTGACGCGGAGCTCCTGCAGAAGCACCCGGTGGATGTCGTCGTGGCTGCGCGGCAAGCGGAGGCGGCGGCCCTGGAATCCTCCGTCGCCTTTGCAGACTTTGACTGTGACCTCCTGGCCTCCCTGAGCCGCCCCTGGCCTGGCTGAGGCAGAGCTGACCCGCTCCTCTGGCCCTGCTGGAGCCCTGGACACATTTGAGGCTCCATCTCGTTACCGTTTGCAGGCTGTGACCAGGACCTACATGGCCAGCCAGGAGCACCATTCGATCTGCTCAGGAACCCCCTCTCATGCACCCCTCCAGCCCCGGCCCAGCCACCTCAGGGAGAGCAGCAGCGGGCACCAGCCCCCGCACCGGCCCCCTCAGGGAGAGCAGCAGTGGGC